ATGGTGGTGTGTTCCTGTAATCCCAGCTACTTGGGAGGCTGAGGCAGGAGGATTGCTCGATCCCTGGAGTTTGACTCCAATGTGGGCAACACAGCAAGACCCTGTCTCTAAGACAGATAAATCAAAATAAAACAAAAGGCCAATGGGGGAATAATAATAGCCCAGGTGAAAGATGATGGACCAGGGTAGTAGCAGAAGTAGTCAGATTTGGGATATATTTTGAAGGTGGGGCAAACAGTGTTTGCTGACGAATTGGATTAATTGAAAACTCAAGGTTTTGGACCCGAATGTCTTGAAGAATGGAGTTTCTAATAACTGAGCCAGAAGACTGGGGGCCTCCCAGAGTGCTGGGATTACAGGCATGAGCCACCGTGCCCAGCAAGAGAGTGTTTTTAAAGGTGAGGGTTGAGGCAACATGCTCGATCCTAAGTAGAAGGGAAAACAGGATGTCAGGAGATGGGGGTGATGACCACGAGATGTCAGGTGATAGGAGGTGATGTGAGTGCATGCGTGGAAGGGCCTTTGAGAGCAGCGTGGAGCCTTTGAGCAGAGAAAAAGGAGAGCAGGCTGAGGGCATGCACTCAGGCGCAGTTGAGTGAGCAGACTTAGTGGCCAAGATGAGTAAAAGTTGTCTTGTGGTTGCTTCTACCTCCTCAGGGACATAAGAAGGCAAGTCATTAATTAGCTAGAGTGAAAATGAGGAAGGAGTTGCTGGAGAAGGCATAAAGTAGGGGTCAAGGAAGTGGGGAATTGAGTGGACTGAGCAAATGGAGGAGAGTTCCTGGAGGCAGCAAGAGCCCATCTGACGTGAATGGTCACGCCTTTTAGGCGAGACAGCATGCTTGTTTGCTAGACTGTTATTCTGCAGAAAAATTCATCAGGCCTCTCTGCAGGAGAACTATATTTTCCTGCTCTAATGACATCAGGCTTTGGTATCAGATTTGTGTTGATCAGCGAAACATGGCTAGAAGTGATGTGTGTCATGTCTAAGTGGAAGATTTATGAAGCAGCCTGTCTTTACCATGTTCTTTCCCCCCTGCCCAACTGGCCATATCCCAGGGGAGCTGCTCCATCATCCTGGAGACTGGAGTGAAGACGATGAGCAGCAGAGCCACAGCCAGCCTGCAGTGGACACGTTCTACAGGTGAAAGGTGCACCTTGCAGCAGCCAGGCCCTGTGGCTGGGGTTGGTGGTTACGGTGACATGGTCCATGCTGACTGATACAGCCCACTGTGCACCTTTGTCCAGCTGTCTTCCTTCTGCCTCTGTGCAGGGGCAAAGAGGATTGACTCAGTTTAATCAGCACTGGGGCTTCGAGAGGGGCTTAGCAGGGAAAGCAAGGGCCCAGGAAACTGAGGGTATATTTAAAGGAGCCTGAGCTGGGGAGGGAGGGAAGCATGGGATATGCTAGAGTCATCCTTGGGTTTGTTTCTTACAGTGACAAGACGGCTGCCAGGGGCAGTCAGGACCAAACATGTCCTTGCTCGTGTCCCCGAGGAGAATGTGTCCCTGTGTCCAGTTGGAACTTGTGTTGACTCTCTTTGTTGCCAGAAGTGGTCAGAATTTCTTTTTGAAAGGACTTATTTTAATTTGTCTTGCCAGCAAAGCTTCTGCCCCTGAGATTTCAGGTATCTGCTTTTGTTTGTCGTTTTGGCCTTTTCAGATTGAATTAAACTGGACACACACACACACACACACACACACACACACTAAACTGGGGACACACACACACACTAAACTGAGGACACACACACACACACACACACAAAACCGGGGACACACACACACATAAAACTGGACACAGACTCTAAACTGGACACACACACACTAAACTGGATACACACACACACACACACACACACACACACACACACAGAGGAGAGAGAGAGAGAGAGAGAGAGACAGACAGAGAGAGAGAGGTTTCCTGGGCCAGTAGGGGTTTCCAGTGCTTGCATAAGGATGGTCCTATGTGGTCTGCACACACCCTTCAAGTCCTCATCACAGCCTGTCCATTCCTGACAGGGATTAGGTCCAAATCACCTATTTTGGAACCTGGGCAGGCTGGAACCTGGTCTGACTGAAACCTGGTCTGACTGGAACCCATTAATTCCCTGTGCCTTACTGCCCAGAGGCTAGAAGGCTTCCATTCTCATGACCCCCCTTCCCCTTATTAGAGAAGCCAGACAGTCCTGCACAGCCGTGGGCCCTGCCCTAGACACTGTCTGCTAGTTCTGGCCCTGGCCTTCAGGCCTGTTGCCCAGCCAAGCGCAGGAGAACCTCTGCAGTCTTACCTGGATGCCTCTCCCAGCTGCCTGCCCCTCCGGCCATAGACACTGGACAGGAGCCCACATGTTCTTTACTCCCCCTCATTTGGGCATCAGAACTTAAAAGAGGCTTTATGGTGAAGAGTGGGAGATCCAGACAGGCCCCACTTCTCAAGATTGCAGGGTGCAGGCCTTGGTGGGGCTGAGTCGTCCCCTTGATCTGGGAGCTCCTCCTGCAGGAGTCTGGCCTTGCTTCAGTCTGGCTCTGGGAGCCCACCTGGCCCCTTGCTCATCTTCAGCAAGCCTCCCGCTGAAGTCAGGGCATGTGCGAGGTGACCTGACAGCCGGGAGTGCTGGAGCTGTCATGGTCTCAGATGCAATGTCTGCAGTGTTTATGTCCAGTGACCCTCAAAAAGGCACAATGGGGTGGGCAAGGTCAGGACGGGTTTACAGATGGGAAGCTGGTCCTCCGAGAGGGGAGTGCCCACCCAAGGCCACATGGCTTGTTGGTGGCTGACCAACCTGTGGCCTCATGACACCTAGTCCCCTGCTCTTTTCACTGCCCCTCACTCCCAGGGAGAGCCACTGTTATTCGGTGTGGTGTTAACATGGACTGCAGCAGACCCTCAGGCCTTGGCTAACTGGTAAACCTCAGCTTCAGCTTCAGCCACTGTTATTCAGTGTGGTGTTAACATGGACTGCAGCAGACCCTCAGGCCTTGGCTAACTGGTAAACCTCAGCTTCAGCTTCAGCCACTGTTATTCAGTGTGGTGTTAACATGGACTGCAGCAGACCCTCAGGCCTTGGCTAACTGGTAAACCTCAGTTTCAGCTTCAGGCTGGGCTTGCTCAGAGATGGCTGGAACACTCGGGTGGTCAGGCCAGGGAAGGGTAGAAGATGGGGAGTCCCTGCCAGACTTCCGTGGGGTTTCCCAGGTGCTCCTGTGGTGGGGGGTCTGTTTTTGTGTGTTTTTCTTAAATTATACTTTAAGTTCTGGGGTATGTGTGCAAAACATGCAGGTTTGCTACATAGGTATACATGTGCCATGGTGGTTTACTGCATCCATCACCCTGTCATCTACATTAGGTATTTCTCCTAGTGCTATCCCTCCCCAATCCCCTCAATCCCTGCTATCCCTCCCCTAGCCCCCACCCCTGACAGGCCCCGGCATGTGATGTTCCCCTCCCTGTATCCATGTGTTCTTATTGTTCAACACCCACTTATGAGTGAGAACGTGCGGTGTTTGGTTTTCTGTTCTTATGTTAGTTTGCTGAGAATGATGATTTCTAGCTTCATCCATGTCCCTGGAAAGGACATGAACTCATCCTTTTTTATGGCTGCATAGTATTCCATGGTATATATGTGCCACATTTTCTTTATCCAGTCTGTCATTGATGGGCATTTGGGTTGGTACCAAGTCTTTGCTATTGTGAACAGTGCCGCAATAAACGTATGTGTGCATGTGTCTTTATGATAGAATGATTTACAATCCTTTGGGTATATACCCAGTAATGGGATTGCTGGATCAAATGCTTTTGTGTTTTATGGAAGATAAGTTTGTTATTTGCTCAGTGACCCAAAATTGAAACTCAAGTCCTTTGGAGGAAGTTCTGGGCTCTGAAATTGCTTCTCTCAGCCTCAGTTTCTCCATGGGTTTTGGATTCAGGGGTTGACCACAGTGATTCTGAGAGGATAGTTTGCGTGGTGGCTGGCCTGGCTCATGGGCCTCACTCTGTGACAGTGGAGGAGGACATGCAGGCCATCTGAGTGGGGAGTGCTGGCTGGCAACAGGGTCCACTGAGACACTGACTTCCTGCACTGGGGCTCTCAGCAAGTCCAGCCAGCCAGCCTCCATTTTCCCAAGTGTAAAATGTGTGTCAGGCCATTTGCTTCTGTGGGAGGGCCTGGAAGGCTATAATTATGGGAGGGTGTGTGGAGTCCTGGGAGCCCTCGATGGGGTTTTACAAGGAAGCTGCAGACGGCTATGGGTCATGACTGGTTGGGAGAGTTATGGAATTTCTTTAGAAAAAAGAACCATGCAAGGAGTGGGCGGGAGGGGGCGATGGCAACTCGGGAAGAGTGTCTGGCGCCCTTGGGAAGACATCTTAGCACACACCAAAGCCCTCTCTCACAATTCAATCAAGTTGTTGCTTCTATTCATACCAAAAGGGCCTTTTTAAAATACAATTAGGCTCTGTTTTATTATGTGTGACAGACGAGGCCATTAACCATTCCGACTATTAAATCAGACTTCATTAAAAAAAATGGAAGTAACTGTAAATTGCCTTGGGTCACGATCGTTTAGAGCCGAGACATTTCAAAGAAAAACATTAGGGAGCTCACAACCATGATGAAGTTAATCAATTTGACATCCCACGGAGGGCCGGGTGTGTCTGCGCCAGAAGAGCTGCTGCACAGCCTCTCCCCAGAGCCCGACTCCTGGGGAGCAGGGGGGTCTCTGCCTCTCCTGTCTCCAAAGGAGAACTGGTAAGCCTACGAAAATAACTTGGAAATTTGGGGGAAAGGGAATTTCTTGTCTCTCAGAGAGGTGTTATTGGTTTGCTTTTCTGAAAAACTATCTAAATATATCAAATGTGATACCAAGTCATACATAATACATTTTTATGTTTTTGCACCAAAAAGTGACTTTGGAGCTGTAAGAAGCAGAGCTATGTAAGTATAATGCATCTTCCCTAGCCCCGTAAGTGGGGTGGGGTGGGGTGGCTTCCACAGACTTCCTCATTAATGGACAGGTTGTGCCCTTTCTCCAGGTGTCTACTTCTTGGTAGGGGTCCTGAGGAGGAGACACCTGCACTGGGGTGAATCTTGCCCTCCTCTCCTTTGTAGGGGTAGAAAAGGGAGGATGGACAGGGCAATACAAATACGAAAAGATGGGAGGAAGCCCAGTCCCTGCACTTTTCTTCCCCAGGCCGTGCTGAGCCCCAAGAGAGAGCAAACCCCAGTGTTCCTCCAAGGTAAGGAGAGGTGGGGGTTGAGTTGTGTCTGGGGCGCATCCTGGCCTTGAGGTGGCACCAGGCCTGGCAAGGGTGGGGATGGGCGGAGACCACTCAAGACCAATTCGGGAGGGGTGGGAGCCGGTGGGGGGGTGGGGGTGGGGTAGGTAGAGAGGCAAGTTTGGTTGTGAAGCCCTGGAAGGTGGGGTCCTGTCTAAACAGGAATTTCCTGGCTGGATTATTAGCATAATAATGGTAGGGGTGGAAGGGGAGCATGTTTGTCTGGAACGCAGAGATGGGAGGAGCGGTGCTGTCAGCCTCAGAGAGGTTCCCCCTGGACTTTGCCCTCTCTCCCCTTTCCTACTGTCCTGCTGATTGAGATGCACCAAGGGCCTACCTGAACGCCAAGCTCGCTTTCATTCTGGTATGGCCTGCACAGGGCTCACCTACCTGCTCTGTGAAGCCCCTCAGCTGCACCCTCTGCTTGGGGACCCTTTTGCTTCCTGCTCTGCTGGCGCTGTCTGAAAGCTGCTAGATCCAGTAGTCCCTTGCCAGCAAGCCTCTGTGCAGTCTCCATCTCGCTCTGTTCCAGCACGCCTCCTTTCAGTCCTCTGCTTTCCTGCTCTCGATGGTGCCTACAGCCCAAGGACAACTTTTCTGGCCTCAAGTCCCTTCAGGAGATGTCCCTGCCTACCTCTCTGGCCTCACCTTCTGCCCCTCTGCTCCAAACACTTAGCATTTAGCACTGTGGTTTCTTCTGGCCTCCCTGACTTTGAAGGTTTCTTTTGCCTAAACTGCTTGTGCCTGTCTTCTTAGCCCAGGGAAACTCTTCAGATTGGTCAGGGTTGGTGACTCACAGTATCTTCCTTCCTTTCTTCCCCCTCCCCTCCCCTCCCTTTTTCCCTCCCTTCTTCCTTCTCTTCTTCCCTTTCCTGAGCACCATCTGTGCCAAGTACAAGATCTCTCCTTTACAGAATTGCTAAGACAATAAAGAAATGTACTATGAGGCAGTGATGGCACTGTGGAGAAACACAGGGCAGGGGAAGGGGAGAGGGAGCGAAGGGGGAGCGGTCAGGGAAGGTCCCCATGGCGAAGGGGCATTGGAGCAGAGACCTGAAGGAAGTGAGGGAGCAATCACTGCCACAGTGTCCCAGGGTCAGGGGTGGGGACATGCCTGTGTGTGTCCCACAACACAGCTCTGTGACTGGGGCAGCTCTGCGGCCAGTTGTGCACTGTATTGTCACAACGGTGGTTATGCCAGTCTGTTTGCCCTGGCCTCCTGAGCTACGCAGGGCAAGGACATATCCTGTTACTCTCTGAATCTGTGCTCTGGAACCACGAGCAGCATCAGACACCCGCAGGCAATTGACACGTGCCTGTGGACTAAAAGAATGAATGAATGTGTGAACACAGGGGGAAAAGGTGCAGATTTCTGGACTTGTGCAAGTCTGTGGGGAGGAGAGAAAAAAGGAAAGATGCATATGGTTTTTATATTCAAAAAATCTTCAACCAATTAGCAAAGACATGCACACACTTAGACAACTTATAAAACCTAGTTTAGATCAAAAGTTAAATAACTTTAGGTGATACCTTAGAATCCACTAATTCCACATTTTATGCAGGATGAGTGTCAAACACTTCCAAGTCCCTTAGATGCCCTGACGTTTACTCCAAGAATACTCCAGAACATTTCTTTGGGGCTGGCTTCCCAGGCTGCTTCAGACTAATGAATTGTCCGCTGGACTCTGAGATATGCTTCCTTATTTGTTTTTAACCCAAACTCTCCCCCCAGAGTGATGTTACTCCCTCACTCAGCAGTGTTTGCACATCATGGATTCTTCCTGTTGTCTTCCTAGCAAGCATCATGAGAAACTGCCTCTGTATTTTTTCTCTATTTGCTTACTGGGAGCAAATAAGCCAACTATGGTAAGCTTGTGTTGCATTGTGTCTCCCCGCCACTGGTGTGTAAGCTATCTGGGGGCACAGACCATGTCTGTTGTGTTCACTTTTGTATTCTCATGCTTACAGCAGTGCTGGTTCTCAAGAAATACGTTTGAATGAATGAATGAATGTCAAGAAAACCTGCACTGTTTCCAAAAACTCAAACTATTTTGGAAGGATGGAGATTATTAGCCCACTACAGGCAGTTCCTTGATGATGGAGCCATGTGCTCCTTGTCTCTGGATTCCTCATCCTGGCATGGTGCTCGGCATGTAGGTGTGTCCAACACATACCTGCAGAGGGGACTGTGCAAAAGAGGGCCCTTTATAGCCTGCAGCAGTGACTGGCAACTCTCTGTGGCCAGCACAGTGTCAGGCTCCCGTGGGTGGTTGGCACGTGCCTGTAGAATGGCAAAATGAAGCAATGTAGGGACAAAGGGAGAAATGAATGCATTTCTAGACTTGTGCAAATACCTGTTGCTAGGTGTCCACTAATGCTGTCTTGCCCCAGTAAAGCAGGACAGAGCCTTATATTCTGGCCACAGTGCTCTGTGACCCCAACTTGTGACTCTCTTCTCCAGCCACAGGGAGGCTCAAAAGATCCTCCCACCTCAGCCTTCCAAGTAGCTGAGGGACCACAAGTGCCTGCCAGCATGCCCAGCTAATTTTTGTGTGTTTTGTAGAGACAGAGTTTTGCCATGTTGTCCAGGCTAGTCTTGAACTCCTGGACTCAAGCAATCCACTCCCTTCAGCTTCCCAACTGTGAGCCATTATGCTAGCCTATTTTAATTTTAATTTGTTATTTTTAGACACAGTCTCTTGCATTGCATCCAGGCTGGAGTGCAGCAGTGTGATCACAGCTTACCATAGCCTCAATCTCGTGGGCTCAAGTGATCCTCCCTCCTCAGCCTCCTGAGTACCTGGGACTATAAGGCACATGCCTCCATGCCCAGCTAATTGAAAAAAATTTTTTCTAAGAGATGGAGTCTGACTATGTTGCCCAGGCTAGTCTCAAACTCCTGGCCTCTAGTGATCCTCCTGCCTCAGCATCCCAGAATGTGGGGATTACAGGCATGAACCTTCATGCCTGGCCCAAAATATCTGTTTGAATAGAACCTTTGAGGGTCTGGGATGAGGTTTGGTGGGCTCTGGCAATGAGAGCACACAAGTGAATGCCTGTATTTTTTCCCTGTTTGTGTCGTCCCTTATGTGTGACTTTCTGCAAAGATAGGGTTTAATATAGAAGAGACCTAGGCTTCAGTCTTTGAGTGAGAAGTCTAAAATATAAGTCCTTAAAAATTTTAGCCTGGGGCAAGCAGAAGAGGAATGATCCTCTCCATGGGTACTCACACCTAGGGATGTGATGGGTTTGTCCCTCCTGGCCAGTTGGTTGCCTGATCCTGTTTTGGGTTGCAGGCAGGCCCACTGGGCCTTCTCCCTGCCGCAGGCCAGGTGAAAAACAGGCTCCTGCATCCAGCCAAGCACACACCATCTCCCCCGTCATTGTACTTCCTGCATGTCCCTTGCCAGGCACCCACGTGCCCTGGAGATTGTCGCTGTTGCCAACTGTTGTGATTTTAATCCTTGCTCTGTTTTTCCTTCCTGGAGACCAGGGACCTTCCCGAGGTTTGTCCCGACAAAGCTTCTCCCAGGCACTCTGTGGCCACTTCCTCCAAAGACCACTCCCTGGGGAGGAGTGAGTCACTAGAATGAGTCTGGGGGCAGGGGACTGGCTTTTGTGGGGAGGGGGGCAGGGGGGGTCCCACTATTCTTTTCTTTAGCACCTTGCCCAGAGCACGTCTAAGCAGTGACCTGAGCTTGGCAGGCCCCTGGTTCTTCTGGCAGCCATGGTGCTTTTTGCAGCTTTCTGTTCTGAGAGGGGCCACTGCCTCTGGAGGTGGGGAGGCTTTCTGCTTAGCAACGCCTGATGCTGCGAGCGTGTCCAAGGAGCCTCTGGTGTGTCCTGGATCAAGCTCGCTCCCTGGGGTCCTGCCTGCACTGCCTGACCCCCAGTACCCAGCTTCCTGCCCTCAGACCCCAACCCTTGATTCCCTGAGCCTTGACCTGGGAGCCAGTGATGATGGATTCCAACTGAAACTGCCTTTCCCTAGTTGAGTAGTCTTTGCAAATCGCTTCTCCCCAGCCCCTAGCTTCTTTGCCTGTTAAAGGAGGATTAAAAAGAAAAAAATTTAAAAATACCACCCTGTTTTGCCAACCTCATGAGGCAGGAGCCTGTTGTGAAGCTCACATTAGCTAAGGCTGGAGACCTGACTTAGAAGGTGCAGGGCACTGTGTGTATACCAGGCTGCAGCTATTTTTATTTTTAACGTTGGAATCCTGTGTGTCTCTGTCTTGAGGAGAGACAGCCGTTAGAGGGTGCATGAGCTTTAAAGAGGAGGTAATGAAAAATATTGAGGCCAAGATTAATTTTTCTGAAGCAATCATGAAAAAGCAAGAGATTTGTGCTAGTAGTTAACAATGTCACTTGCCTTTTTTCATTCTGCATATTATTATATAAATAGTTTATGGAAAAATAGACTATGATAAAATATTTATAAAATAAACAGAAAATTAATCACTGAAAGAGCAAGTCAAGCCATCACCATTGGCTACGTTATTCTCTGACTTCTCCATCCTGGAATTATGGTGTTTTCACACAGCTTTCACCAAGCTCAGAAACATCCCTCACTCTGGGGGCACTGTCCCCACTGTCTCTTGCTCAGTGGGGCCTCTGACTCTGAGGGATATGAGTCTTCCCTCTTCTCCATCACTGGGATTTTCAGCTGATTCCAATGATCCTTTACTTCAAGGCATCCTTACTGGGGGACCTCACTGCCCCGTCAGTGAACAGTCATGATTTCAGGGTTTGGAAAAAGGGATTAAAAGAGGCATTTGAAAAGTGGTGCCTGGGGATGGGGCCTGGCAATCTTACTGGGTTTCTTGAACAAGCCTTCCCTTTCCACTCCCCTCACTCTCCACGCTATTCAAGTCATCTTCATTCTCCTCAACTCTTCCATGTGCTGTCCCCTCACGGGCATCTGACAGTCAAGTGCTGTGCTCTGAGAACAACCGTCAGATGGCAGCACATCCTGGGCCTCCCAGCTGGCCTCCTCTCACTGCCTCTCCTTCTCCCTCCTGCTGTGACACCCTGAGCCTTGCTCCTGTGGTCAGCTGCCCCCACTCCTGTGTCTTGACTTCCCCCTCGCGCCTCGATCAAGATGTTCTGTCTCCCCCATGGCGAAAGAAAACCTCCCTCAACTCCTTGTCCTACTCTCCAGCCCAGTAAAGCTTGTCAGATGAGACATCTACACATCCCTCCTGCTCCCTCTCACCCTGCTTTGTTCCCCAACCCACTCTGGCTGGTGGATGTCTGACACTGAACCTGCTTCCTCGGTGTGGTGCAGGTCTCCAGTCAGTGGGTGGATGGGTTGGGTAGAACTGGCCCTTTCTGCTTTGTTACTCTCTCTCTTCAGCCTCTACAAGATCAACTCCCCCAGGCTATTCAGGCAACTGAATTTCTTACCCAGGGCTCAGGAGAGTTTCAGGAGTTCTGGGAGCTGGGACAAAGATTCTATGTCCAGCTATTTTGTACTTCCCCTCGGATTTCATGAAGGGAGATACCTAAAGACATTGGCCATTCAAATGAGACCATGGAAAGGTGCTCAGCCTACTGCTAATTAAGGAAAGTGCAAAAAAATCCCAGAAACATACCATTTCATACCCATTTGCATGGTACATTTTTTTTTTTTTTAGCCAGAGTTTCACTCTGTTGCCCAGGCTGGAGTGTAGTAGTGTGATCTCAGCCCACTTCAACCTCCACCTCCTGGTTCCTGTGATTCTCCTGCCTTAGCCTCCCGAGTAGCTGGGATTATAGGCACACATTATCACACCCAGCTAACTTTTTGTATTTTTTTTTTCTCGAGATGGAGCCTTGTTTTGTTTCCCAGGCTGGAGTAAAGTCGTTAGATCTTGGCTCACTGCAACCTCCACCTCCCTGGTTCAAGTGATCCTCCTGCCTCAGCCTCCTGAGTAGGTGGGGGTTACAGGTGTGCGCCACCATGCCTGGCTAATTTTTGTATTTTTAGTAGAGACAGGGTTTCACCACGTTGGTCAGACTGGTCTTAAACTCATGACCTTGTGAGCCACCACACCCAACCTTTATTTTTGTATTTTTTAATAGAGACAGGGTTTCACCATGTTGGCCAGGCTGGTCTTGAACTCCTGACCTCAGGCAATCTGTCCGCCTCAGCTTCCCAAAGTGCTAGGATTATAGGTTTGAGCCACCACACCTGGCCTGATAAACATTTTTTAAAAGCCTAATAATACCAAATGTACTAGGATGTGCTGAGATCAAATGTATCCAGCAGGGAGTGTCTCTGGAAGAACCACTTTCGAGAGAAGTTTGGCAATAGCCAGAGAGTTGAAGATGCTCCTGCCCCATGACCTGGGTAATCACACTTCTAGCCCTGTGTTGCAGAGGGGTACAGGGAGCCTTGTTGATGCAAAAATATTCTTGCAAGATCATTTGTAACATAAAAAAATTGGAAACAACCAGAAAATAAATGTAAAAGTTGTGATCTATCCATATAGCAGTTAAAATGAATGAACTACAGTCACATGCATCAACATGGATACATCTCAAAGACGTTGCTGAGTGGGAAAGACAAGTTGCAGAAGGGATGTCTAGTATGATACTATTTGTATAATGTTTTAAGATATGCAAATTAGTACTACAAAATGTGTGTGGATACATAAATATGTATGAAAACTATAAAAATCTGCACAGGAATGATAAACACCAAATTCCTAAGAGGTTCTTTATTTTCCCTGGGGAGAAGGGGAACGATGGCAGGAGCGATACGCAGGGGGCTTCAATTCGATCTGTTGTTCCATTTCTTTCTTTCTTCTTTGTTTTTTTTTTTTTTTAGATGGAAACTCTGTTGCTCACACTGGAGTACAATGGTGCTATCTCAGCTCACTGCAATCTCCGCCTCCTGGGTTCAAATGATTCTCCTGCCTCAGCCTCCCGAGTAGCTGAGATTACAGGTGTGTGCCACTGGGCCCAGCTAATTTTTGTATTTTTAATAGAGATGGGGTTTCACCATCTTGGCCAGGATGGTCTCAAACTCCTGACCTTGTGATCCACCTGCCTCAGCCTCCCAACATGCTGAGATTACAAATGTAAGCCATTGTGCCCGACCTGTTGTTCCATTTCTTAAAAGTGAGAATCTGAAGCAAATGTGGCTTAGTGTTAGATTTTATTAAGCCGGGTTGTGTGTAGATGTCTTTGATGTTAATGGATTGGCTTTATTAGAAAACATATCAAACATATAGATAAATTTAAAAAGCTTCTTAGGCCTCCTCAACACTGGGGAGCATGAAGGATTTCTCCCATTCCAAATGGCTCTCCTGTCCCAGGGTGGAGTCTTTTCTTCCCAGCACTGGTGCCCCTTCTTCAAGGCACTGAGTTGGAAAACTCTGAAGCACAGTGGTGGAAAATTCTGCCCTTTCTCCAGGCTGAGCCTCTCTCCCAGAGTCTTGCCCTTCATACCACATGATACAGTTGAGCTTTTCGGTCTGGGTAGTGGCCCAGCTTCAGCCTGATGCAAGAAAACATGGCATTTAGGAGCCAGACCGGCTGAGTCCAGATGCTGGCTCTGCCACTTGACTGCACGACCTTGGGCAAGTTACTCTAATTCTCTCTGCTATAGAATGGAGGTTGCATGGGCAGGGAAGAGGGTGGCCCATGAGTCCAGGAGGGTGAGTAGGGGCAGCTCAGGGAGCTTGAGATCCTCATCCTATCCAGAGCTGGGCTACTTGGCACAGAGTAACCAGGTCATATTGATACCTGGCAGCAGGAAATGGCTGCCTGCTGTCCACCCATCCCAAATGACATGGGAGTTGAAATGGACAGGACTGATGCTAAAGCAATTTATTTGGACTGGTTTCCCTGCCCAGATAAGCAAGTGTCATTGAAAGCAAATCTTCTGTTGATTGTAGCAAACCCTTAGATAGGGCAGGGAAAGAAACCCAAGCTCCTCGGTGCAGAGCAGCTCAGAGGCCCTGGGCCCTGCCTCTGTGAAAACTCTTTCCAGGTTTTATCTTCTTACATCAAGCATTTCAAGAAAAACTAGATAATCAGGCTGTGTGGGATTTCTGCAGAACTCTCCAGAAGAGTCGTGAGCTCCTCACACCTCCACGCTCCTGCCTCTTGGCGGTGTTACAGCTACGTCTCAGTGGTCCAGATTCTGGGGAGCTCACCCCTGTCCTTCCATCCTGTCCTCTTATCTTCCCCTGAGAGTGTTCACATGCATGGCCTCCTGTGGCACTGGAGACGCAGGCCATGCCGGGATGAATATAGGGAATTGCTATGGATTAAACTGTTTCATCCTAAAATTCATATGTTGAAATCCTAACCCTCAGTACCTCAGAATGGGATCTTACTTGGAAATGGGGTTGTTGCAGATGGAATTAGGTTAAGAGGAGGTCACTAAGGTGAGCCCTAAGCCAATATGACTGGTGTTCTTATAAAAAAGGAAGAATTTGGACTAATACACACACACACACACACACACACACACACACACTCACACACACAGAGAGCGAGAGAGTGAGGCCACGTGACAATGAAGGCAGAGATTGGGGTGATACCTCTATGAGCCAAGGAATTCCAAAGATGACCAGCAAACCTCCAGAGGCTGGGAGGGAGGCCTGGAACAGATTCTCCCTCACCGCCCTCAGAAGGAACCAACTCTGCCATCACCTTGATCTTAGACTTCCAGCCTCCAGAATCGTGAGAAAATACATTTCTGTTGTTTAAGCCCCCAGTGTGTGGTGTTTTGTTGTGACAGCTCTTAGCAAGCCAATACAGTGACTATGTGCCTTTCAACTGAGGACCTGGGGACCTGACGACGCCTGAGAGCAGCAGTGTGCTCAAGGTTACACGGCTACTAAGGAGCTCAAGCTAACACTTGGCTTCACAGACAGTATAACAGGGTGGCTTGGACACTTATACAAGGGAGTCAGTGATTTCAATAGGAACTGGGAATAAAAATGTATTGCAGTTTATGCTTCTGTGAAGTGTGATATGTCACAATGGCTTCTGGGTAGTCTGTTCCTGAGCTTGATTGAGATGGTGTTTGGGGAAAATACTTATCACCTGTAGGAGATCACACAACACGCCAGATTCAAGTAATGGGCTCCATCACAAAGACCACAGCCTTCAGACACACTTCAGTGTGCCAGCTCATTGTATAACTAGTCTGGCATCTCTGGCTGCCTAATTTATGGGATCTTGGCATGGCCTTGGCCTTCTGATTCTGGTGTCCTTTCTGTCTTATATTCTTGGGTGTGGGTGATTCTAAACATCTTTCTTTGGGAGTTATTCTTTTCCTCCCCACCACAGTGCTAAGCTGGCTCCCCACACTGTGGGTTGGATGGCTGGAGTTGGGCAGTGAGGAGTGTGTAGGAGGGACAGGACAGAGGCTACCCATCAGGAGGCTCGTGGCAGTCTGCCTCCATCTCTCCACCCACAGCTGTGTGGCCTTGGTTAAGCCACTTCCGCATCTGAGCCCCAGTTTTCTTACCAGTAAAGAGGGCATTGGGGAGGGGGAAAGATGAGCTCTCTTCCAATTGGGAGGAGGCTGCAGCCCAACAAAGATGGTAAGAGACACCAAGAGTGAGGCTGGCTCACCAGCTATTTTTGCTGTTTTAAAAATCCCACCTAAGTGCTGGGTTTTTCTGCAGCATGAGCCTGAGCAGGACAGCCAAGGTTGAGCATCTGTCAGCACAGTCGCCTTGCTCATCAGAACCTCTGACCAGCAGAGACATGCTTTTAGGCAAAAAATACAGGACACATGCATGAATTCTTAATTTGTACAATTTAGTTGGCAAGCAGCTCTTAAAACAGAAGTCTACTGAGATGGCGCATACTAAAAGTGTCCTTGGTTTTGAGAAGGTGGAACCACTGAGTTTCGGGCCCCAGGTTACCTCCTGTTCTAGAGCCTACATTCCTAGCCCTACACTGGGGTAGCACCCCTCCTCTTGGTGATCTAGATGAATGGCAACCCCACCTGGATAACTGGTCGATGGCTGTGCCCCGTAACTCCTTCCGTCCCCTGGTCATGTCACATCCTCCCTCTTCAGATTAGAGTCACCTTATATGGGAGTTTCCATCTCCAGTTTGCAGGCAGTTGCTAACACCATCCCTGGCAATGTTTGTATTTACCTCTGTGCTGAGCATGGTTTTTGTATATGTCTTTGTGTTGAATGTGGCATACCTTCCCTTTAAGCTGTGAAGCTCCTTGAGCATCAGAATGGTTATTTCAGCTATAACTGGATTTGGGGCTATTGATTCTTTCAACTTGTGGCCAGGACCTGCATGTCTGGTGTCGCAGCGTCAGGCTCAATGAAGAAGAAGATCAGTGCTTGGGTTGACAATGGTCAGCACAGCTGGCGAGGGGCAGAGCCATAAAGCCAAGCTGAATCCTGCTGATTCCCTGCACAGTGCTCTCCCCTCCTCAGCAGTACAGACCTGCACCACAGCCCATCTGGCTCAGGGAGGCTGCAGAGATGGACTCAGAGGGCAGGACAGCCCTTAAGGGGCCTAATAACAAAACCCTGTAATAGCAATGATGGTGTGAGGGAGAAGTGCTTTCCCTAGCGAGGAAGAAACTCTGTGCAGAGATGTGGGCTCAAGGCCGACTTCAGAGGCAGGCAGACGTGTCTGTTAAAACTCTGGGCTTGGCTTGACTTACATGGGCTCCCTAAGGTGACTCTTGGAGGCACACAGGCACAGTGGAGGATCATGAAGCCACACAGACTGCTATCATTCAGCCACCTCTCCCTTCTTCTCTAGTAATAGAATTTTTCTTCTTCTTCTTTTTCTTTTTTTTAAAGTGAGGTGTTTGGCTGCCCAACATAAAGGCTACATTTCCTAGTCTCCCTGGCTGTGCGACTAAGTTCTAGCCTACAGGGATGTAACAAAAGTGAGGAAATATTCTTAGAAAGAAAGGATGTTCCTTTTTCTTCTCCTTTTCTTTTCGTTGCTCTGTGAAAAGCAGATGAGATGGCTGGTGCTGGAGGAGCAATCTTGGGCCTTGAAATGACCTTGTGAACCACCCTTGATGGAACTCTAAAATAGAAGCCACGTCATCATGACACTATGGGGTGCCTCAGCAGGCCTGGTCCACCTGCTTTTCATCTATGTAAGTTTCTATTTTATTTAGGCCACTGTGTCTTTGGGGTTTCTGTCCCCTAATCCTAGACTCCAGAGAACTGTTTATTCCTTTTTCATTTTCTTGCAATTCTTCGGATTATCTTTTGATGCTGGTTTATCACAAACACCTCTCTACAACTTGTTAAAACTCCCCTGTCTTGGTAAAGAGAGAACAGAGCTTATTCAGGCTCTGAGCTTTTGGTAGGCAGTAGATCTGAGTGTTATTGACATTGTTTTGTTTTGTTTCTATGGTATTTATTTTTAGGTTACCATTTACTTAAAGTAAATGATATTACTTTTCCATTTACAATAGTGACATGAGGTCATTTTCCTTTTTAAATAATTTACTTAAGCAAAAACAATTGAGTCAATTTAAAAGATGTTAAGTGACTGAGAGTGCAGGTTATGTCAGCCATGGCCGAAATGAAAGCAGTGGTGGGAGGGTGACAGTGTTTGGGAAACAAGGTTCTAGGTTGTGCTGTTTCAGAAAGAATTGTCTAAATATTTTTCCTCCAATAGTTTATGGTTCTCATTTTTGATGATTCAAAATATTCTTGTAATGGGGCTCCCACAGACCAAGCATAGTAGTTAAGCATGTGGGTTCTGAAGCGAGACTCCTGGGGTTCAGTTCCTTGTTCCTCCAGTTACTAGCTGTGTAGACTTGGGCAAACTACTGTACCTTACTGTGCTCGACATCTCATCTGTAAAATGGAGTTGATGATGTGTTTGGGAGGACTAAGTGACTAATTGCTCCTAAAATACTGAACAGAGTGTCTGGTGTGTATTAAATTGCAATAAATGGCAGCTGCTATTATTCTTGGTTTGTGTG